TCCAAAAACTGAGAGCACCGAAGACTAACTATTCCGAGTTTTACCAAAAGAGCGAGCGAGGAGAAGAGAATAGAATAAACTGTTGCCAGTCTACTCTACCCTTGTACCTTCTCATTGACTTAGAGCAAGAAAGCAGCTTTTAACAGCTGCCAAGTGATTTCAGTAATTGGTAACAGCTGGTTACCAGGAGACAGGCGAGGCAAAGGCCTCTGGGGCCATCTTGTGGCCAAAAAGGGGCACAGCACGTAACAGAGCATTATCTTACTTCTGAGAAGAGCTCGACATTGTGCGCAAGAGCCCAAGGTCCAGTGAAAAGTAGACAGCCTTTTATCTTTCCAAGGGTCTGGTCGACTTCTGGTTATTTCATTTGGAGAAACGTTTCCTGATTATAAAACTTTGGCTTAAGTAGTGCTCCTTATTCAGCATCCGCCTTGAATCCTGTGTGTCAGCGGTGCGGAGATCCATCCAGAACATTTAAACAGCCATGAACCTGTCTGAGGCAAAAGTCCAGAACCTCATAACCTCATAAGCTCCCTAGAGACGTTTTATTAAGCACAAGCTACAGGTGATCTGCTCAGGTTTAAGCGGAGCAGAAGGAATGTGCGTGCAGGCCGCAGCAGGTGAAATGTTCCAAATTTAAGGGAAATTGTTTTATTTGCATTGTTTATATGTTACTGGGGCACGCTGATGAGCTTGTTTGGACTAAATATTAATTAAAATGAATGGAAATTTAACACTATTGAATGATTATTTATTGTTTTAAAACGAAAGTGATGAGATAATCACGCGACTTCTGCTGCAAGCCAGTGCAGCAGCGATTCATTCGATTTCCTGCTCCAGCTCATAAAAGAAAACCCCAGTAGCCTATGTCCAGGGACAGAAACATTAAACAGAGTAACACAGTTGTGGGCACCGCAGGGAAACAAAGATGAGGCTTCCTTATAACACTTTAACCATGTTTATCACGGCCCGTTTATACGTCACTCTAACAAACAACAATTACGTAATTCAACAATAAGAAAAATCCAAATTTATCTGCCAGCAAACAAATGTGCTGCACTTCCATAAAAAATCTGTTTGGACTTCTTCTGCGTTTGCAAATCAGTCAAACGGTAGTGAGAAAGTTACCTTTTGTTTATAAAAGGGGCTGCAGTAATTCTAGTTGACTACAGGATATCATCCTTACTTCATTCTTACCTATTGCACCTTTAAGACTCTCTTCTTTCAAATTAAAAGCCAGCCCTCCAACACTGTGTTTTCTGTGATCCGATTAATTAAATCAATCCTGTGACCTTTG